CCCGGCGGGCAGCATTCTGGGCTTCTGGTGGCGCACGACACCGCACCGCGCAACTGCGCCGCAGCAGCACACCGGACGGACGGACACCGCACACGCCGGCTGCCTGTTCTTCCAGGCGCGAAGCGGGAGGTAGGTCGCGCTGAGCTGTGCTGTGCTGTGGTGCTCGATCTGCCTGCCGCTGGGTGCGCGCCTTTTTGGCCGTGCTCGGGTGGCCAGATCACCTAACGGCTACTGGCGCTCGTCGTTATATACGACGCTCGCTCGACGCGGGGCCGGGAACTGGATCGCCCGCCGAGTGCCCGAGTGGACCTCAACGAACCAGTGGCGCGCACATAAAGAAAAGGCGGCGGGCTGAGCACCTCCCGTTGAGATGCGTGATGCTTCTCCGTGCTGCCGTCACGCACGCACGCCCACAATTTTATTCTGCCGGAGCGTCGCACCTGCGCTGCACCTCGGTTCGGCATGTGTTTTCTTCGTCGTCTTCTTCACCGGTAAAACTATCAGCAATAATGCGTTCTGCAATCGTCTGAGGCCGGAATGTTGATTTGGCTAGTAGTATTTTCTCCGCGTCAGCAGCGGGGGCGCACCGGATCGACCGTGGAGGTGGAGTGCGACGTGCTACCGGCACCAGTTCGAGGGCTTCTTTTCCGCTGCTGTCAGAGCGTCCTTTCCTGCAAGTCATGGCCATGTTCATAGCTAAACGTCTCCAGTCAGTGGATGACTGGATGGAATCCGATGGCGAGTAACGTCCCAAATGGAAATGTCCAGCGACAGGCGTCCCACTTTTTCAACGGGCCGGCGTGCTCTGCTCTGCTCTGCCCAGTGCTCACCGTGGACCGCGGTGATTGTGAGTGTGGCTGGCGGCTGGCCACATGCCCCCACTGAGATTCCTGTAGCCAGATCACGTAGCTCGTCTCCCCATTGGAGGAGCGCGGCGCCCATTACTAGCTGGGAGCATGGCGGTTAGTGGTTTCTTATTCTTAGTGTACGGTGTGGCACATGTTTTGCAGGGTAAATGCAGAAGTGGAGATCACATTCACACACGGATTTCGCCACGGCAAGCTGTACCTGTCCTGCTGGTGAGGAATATGGGCGGAGGAGGATTCACAAACAGCAGGACGACGCCACGCCCAGCATCTGCAGACGCGCTTCAGATGTTGACTGCCCGAACAACTCCCTGAGACTCAAACTGCAGGCGCTGGAGGAGTACTTGACTAATGACTACCCGCGCCCCACGGTACTTGAACATGCTTTGGACTTTCTTCAAAAAAAAAAAAACTTTGGACGAATTAAACGCGTCTGGCCTTTGCAGGCTACTACCAATTTTCAAGGTTTACCGGACGGCCGGAAGCTGAATACAGGGAGCCCAGGCCGAGAGCTCGGGGGACGATGGCAACTACTCTGATTGGGACATGTAGCTTGAGCTAGGTTACGTCAATCATTTGGAGTTGTTTAGTACTTTACCTGATGATGAAGAACAGATCAAGAGGGGAACCAGCCACGGCATAGACGATCCCATCACGAAGGAACCAACTACGGCATAGGCGGTCGCGTAAAAATCGTTTGGTTTCGTCGTGTAACGATATTTGTTACTGCTACCATGTTGAGCCGGACAGCGACCACGACATCCGCGCTCCCAGCAGCGGCAAAACCAGCGCACGAATCGACCGCGACCGAACACCTTGTCTGTTGCCACCTTCAGCACTCGTCACTCGTGTGACGCCGCAGACTCGCCCGAGATGCCGCCATCGGAGAGCCTGTGACGCCGCGGACACGCCGTGGGGTGGCGTGGTCCCGTGGAGCCGTAGTGAGCCGGGATGCCACCGATGGTGGTGGCACCACTGAAGACTGAAGAGAGTGACACCGTAGTGGCGAAGTTCTCCCATGCGCAATGTCCATCTCGAGGATACCAACGACCGGTGACCAATGGCGACCGCACCGCCACCGCCGTCGAGCTCGGAGCCAGAAGCGTATGGACTCGCACAAAAACGATGGAAGGTGGTGGAGCAGCAGCGTCATTGTCGCCACTGCTGGAAGCCCAGTCCTAAAGCGAGGGGATCAGGATTGCCGATGGTTTGGATGCCCATGTTTTCAGCTAAATCCACACGTGTTGGAGTGGGTTGGTGTAGAATGTAAACTAAATTTCATACAAAACCTCTTCAACTCATATGGATTGAGGTGGACAAGGCCTAAAAGTGAAAACACCAAACAGACTAAAGAGTTCCTAAAAACAAACGAACGTAACGTGACGTCGTAACGGGATGTCATTGCAGTGTGATCGGATTACGTCGTAACAGGATTACGTCTACCGGACTTGGGCTTTCTGTATGTGCGGCACTCAGAAACTTAAGGGACAAGCGACTTCCATTTCATTGGCGCATGAGATAGGTTCGTTCGTGTAAGTTGGGACCCCGGTAATTATTTTTTCTTTATATAATAAACCCAGGTAACATTTGATTCTCTTATATATATATATTATTATATATATTTTAATTATATTTGAGTGATTGCTCACCGCACCAGCCGCACGGTAACATTTGATTCTCTGCAAAATATATTGAACAAAATGAAGCTCAGATTTGTAGCTCATGATGCCGATACGAAATCAACAATGAAGCTCAGATTTGTTGCTCGTGATGCCGATCTTTGGTTTGTTGTGAGAGAAAAAAAATCTATGACCGATAAGTTCTCGATTGAACCAACAAGTGAGCAAATTTGAATGACCAGAAGTAGACGCTTAGTTATATGTTCTTGACTCTGAAATTTAGGATCAACAAATCACAAGCATCTCAAACAATATGATTATGTAATTGGCACACAGCTATGTTTATGTTGCGTATAATAAACTCTTAACTATGTTTATTTTGACTCTAAAAAAGCTATGTTTATTTTGCGTATAATAAACTTAAGCATACTCTTCCTCTCACTCTTACCATGCAACTTGTTGCCACCTGCAACTGCAACTGCAACTTGTACTCTCTCCGTCCTGTAGCAGAAGTCATTTTAATTTTAGCCTTTTTACACTTAGAGCGAGTATAATAAGAGGTTGTTAGTAGGTTTTATGATGAGGTGGAGGAAAGAGAAGGAGCGAGATGATAGATAAATTGTAAAGTTTATATTCAGCCGATGCATAAGAACAAAAAACTTTATGAGAGAAGGATAATGATCGCAGATAGGCCAACTACCGTACGATGAGTGGACTGTAAGTGTACTTACCTTTTTTTTTACAGAGGTATACCTAGCTTTTATAGAAAGCCCAAAAGAGTCACCGTTGTCCGAGAAGACTTCCTGGTATATCCCTCTTTCTATCTTTCCTTGGTGTTTTCTATGCACCATATCTTTTTTTTTTTACTTCTTAAATTTTGTGTTCAAAGGTCACACCACCATAATATGGGACAACTGCTCACAGCGGCTCGAGCTTGAAAACAGCACTGGAATCATCCTGTCCGACAGGTCAGACCCGAGTATCCTGCTAACCATCTCTTTCTACTATTTCCTTGTTATTGGACTGTTGCGAGGTAGCGCGTGGTCGCTGCGTGCGAAGGCCCACGCATTCATGGCGTCGAGAGCAGCGGCCCGCACGTCCACAACAGTGTTCACCGATGCTAGATAGTTTTTTTTCTTTCCTTTGTTCTATTTCTTTTTCCTTTTTTCTTTTATTATTTGTTTTCTATGTTTTTATTCTTGTTTTTCCCTACCCTTTTTTATTTTCATTTTATTTCTTTATCTTTTATCATTCTTTTTCTTTTTTGTTCCTTCCTTTTTGATATTTTCTTATTTTTATTTCCTTTTATATTTTTACATTTTATTCTACTCTAATTAATTGTTTTTGTTTTTCATGTTTTACTTTTTATTTTCTGTATGTATTCTATAAGGTATGTAGATGTTTTCGCAGAACACTATGTTTTTACTTTTTGTTTATTCACACTATGTTCATGAGATGTTTTAAGGTGTATTCTTTAATGTCTACATAGTATAAACATGATGTTCCATGGTATATCTTTGATTATCTACATAGTCCCATAGGACATTTATTCTATATTTTACATCAATCATCGCATTCGACTGTAGAGTTGTGCCGCCAACTCATTCATACACTGTTTGTCGTGGTGGAAATAAGATTTCCCATGGCATTGCCAATGCCAAGAAATTGTCATAAGAAAAGGTCAAAAAAGGATTGCATGTTACTCCCTCTATTCTAAACTATAAAATGTTTTGACGTTTCTGGATACATTGTTTTTGTTGTGCACCATTGCAACTAGATATACACTACGTCTAGATGTATAGTAAAATAATGTATATAAGAAAAAATCAAAGTGTCTTATAATTTAAAACGAAAGGAGTAATAAACACTCTAGCATATAATGGAACTTGAATCCAGTTCATAGATTACATGTCTAATCAATGCGATCATCCTAAGTTATTGTTTGGATGCACTCGTATCTACTTCAATCCATATGTATTGTAATACATTGAGATGAAAAGTTAAGTAATTTTTAACTCAATCTATTCCAATATATAGATAGATTTGAATATGAGTCCATACAAACAAGCCTAGCGGGAATACCAGGAATCGGCAAAACGTTATCTGAATAATCGAAAAAAAGAAAAGATAAGGCCATTTGTGGCTGAAACAAATGTCGATTCGCCGCTCCAAATTCCTGATCAATTTCTATCAGAGAAGATTACAGGAAGTTGAGACTGACACATGAATGTACAATTGTTGGCATTAGGCTAAAGTATAACATGACCTATGGTAAGAAAAAAGAAAAGAACTTTCTGTTTAGGCGCCTCTGCTACCTCCTCTGTTCTTCAGTCTTACTACTACTTGTTTTTTTTTAACCTTTCATGATCTGGTACTTATTACAGAACAAATCAATAAATGGTATTCGGATGGTTCAAAGGCAGGGCAAGTATACTTGGTGATTATGGGCCGGAAAAGGTGGTGATGCAGTGTTGCTGATCAGCTGGCACCGGTCCTGCTCCTGCAGCATTGCCCTCTACTGAACGGCAAGGAAGGTGCTGCTCGTTGGGGCAGCTGAACTCGTCGGTGCCGCAGCCGTCGCTGCTGCTGCTGCTGCTGGTGGTGGTGGTGGTGCTGCTGCTGCTGCTGGTGGTGGTGGTGGTGCTGCTGCTGCTGCTGCTGCTGGTGTAGGTACGTTGCCGCTGCTCCCGATCACATCAGGCTTGTGGACGCCCATCTTGTACTTCATTTTGTCTTCGTCGTTCCCTTCTTCAGTGTAGACTGTGTGGTCTCTTGCCATGTTGATGTCGTCGTCGCTGTCCGTCTCGTCCGCACTGAACTCCTGCTGCTGCTGGTGCTGATGCTGCACATTTGTTTCATTCACACTGTCCTCTGCCGTCTGCACAAGGTCAATTCTAAATTTTGGTTAGCTTGCCCAATTAATTGGTTTCCAAATATGGAAAGTTTCACGGTGAATGTGCGATCTTACCTTGTTTTTGGCGCCGTCACCAGGCGGGGTGGTCGTCGGTGCTGTATCGCCGTTGCCGGGAGAAGCCTGCACGTTTCCCTGGTCATCATTCTTCCGGTTGTCGACATCGTTGCTGCTCTTTCCCTCGAGCTCGCGCTGGCTCGGGTTGTCCTGCACGGTAGCAGCGACGGCGACGGCGGCGACGGTGACGGCGGTGGCCATGTTCGCTCCAGATGCGGTTCTGCTGCCTCTGCCGCCGCCACGGTGTTTCTTGAGGTACATGGCGTCGAGCTGGTGGAAGTAAGGGCAGGTCTTGGAGTCCTCGGGGCGCCTCTTGTTGCTCTCCTTCACCTTCTTGTAGTACTTGTTGATGTTCTCCCACTTCTCCTTGCACCGCTTGGCGCTCCGGTTGTACCCGATCCTGCGCATCCCGGCGGCGATGTCCTCCCAAAGCGGCCCCTTGGCCCCCGCGTCCTGGTACTGCTCGTCCTTCTCGTTCCGCATCTGGATCAGCGCCTCCACTTCCTCCTTGGGCCACCGCGACGACGACGAGGACCCGCTGCCCTCGCCTCCCGCCCACGCCAAGGCCTCCACCGCATTGAGCGGCCCGGGCACCAGCTGCTGAAGCGAGGTGGCCGCCGCGTCGTGCCGAGGCGACGGAGGGGTGCGGTCCGGCATTGGCGGCGCGGGCACGATGCCGGCGCTGTGCGGAGGGAGCCGCGCGGGCTGCCCCTGCCCCCCGCCGACGCGCTGGAGGAACGCGATCAGCGCGGCGTCGCGGGAGGCCGCGGCGGCGCGCTCCCTGGCGAGCTGCTCGCGCTCGCGGTTCATGCGGGAGACCTCCTGCCGCCGCCACGCCTCCTCGCGCGCCGTGCGCTCCGCCTCCCACCGCTGCAGCGTCTCCAGGAACACGCGCTGCATGGCGTCTTGCTTGTCCGTGACCTGCTTCATCATCCCCTCGAAGATCGCCACCATCTCCCTGTCGCACTCGCCCCTGCCGAGGCCCTGCTCACCGGCATCAGAGTCGTCGTAGTCATCCGAGTAGGAGTCGGAGTCGGAGTCGGACTCTGACCCTGACATCGACGAGAAGCTGAGGTCCAGCAGGCCGGCGCCGGTGGGTGGGCCCAGCGCCTTAGGGCCCGCCGTCCATGCCATTGCCGCCGGCTGATGAGGGCCAGCTTGCACCGTGGTCACGCTCATGCCCGAGGGGGGCGGCAGCGGCAGCGGCAGCAGCTGCTGCGGCGGCGGCGCCGCGGCGTGCAGCGCCTCGAGCTGCGAGAAGAAGCGATAGCTCTTGCCGTCCTGGCGCCCGGCGCGGGCGTCCTTGGTGCGCTTGTAGTACTTGTCCACGTTCTCGAACTTCTCCTTGCACTTCTTGGCGCTCCGTTGGTAGCCCAGCCCTGCAAGCTTCCTGCAAAAAAAATGCGCCCCAGCACGGACGCACTGTTAGCTCTTTCTCGCGTTCACGTCTCAACCAGCATGAGTCATGAAGAGGTGATGACTTGGGTGTGTGTGTGTGTGTGTGCAGAGGAGTATCTTTCATCTAAGCGAGTGGTCAAAGCTTGCCATCATTCTTCCTCTTTCTCTGAAAAGGACTGGACGGACGCGGAAGGAATTGGGATTTGGAAGCGGATCGGAGACAGACATGTAAAGCGACGACGGTGGAAGCATCAGCCATCAGCCATCAGCAGTGCTAGGAATCAATCAGCACACAGAGAGATGTGGTGATGATGTGGTTGATGGCATCGTGTCCGAGGAACCCAGCAAACATGCCCCCTTTATCTCAAAATAGAAGTCATTCTCGCTTTCCGAGAAATTAATTTTTTAACTTGATAATACATAATTAATATCATTAAATAGATCGTTACATGCTCCCTCTATCCCAAAATAGAAGTCATTCTCGCTTTCCAAAAAGTCAATTTTTTAACTTGATAATACATAATTAATATCATTAAATAGATCGTTGAATGTACTTTCATAATAAATTTATTTGAAGATAAAAATATTGCGCGTATTTTTTATAAATCTAATTAAAATTAAGAAAATTTAACTTGCACACATCTCGTAGTATCCTTCTTTTTGGACGGAGGGAGTAAGCTGATCGATGAAGTGGTGATGACAGCGGCAGTCCGCCGCTGCAGCCAGCGAAATGCTTTTCCTTCCTCCCCCACCCCCCGGAAAACTTGGTGCATCCATCCAAGTCCAAGGCTATGTTTAGATTGTAAAAATTTTAAATCGATAAATATTACTACTTTCGTTTTATTTGGTAAATATTGTCCAATCGTGGACCAACTAAGCTCAAAAGATTTATCTCGTGATTTTCAACTAAACTGTGCAATTAATTATTTTTTTTTCCTATATTTAATGCTCCATACAAACGGCTAAAAATTAATGTGATGGAGAGAGTGAAAAAACTTAGAATTTTGAGGGTATCTAAACAAGGCACAAGTGTGTTTTAAAAGGAAGAAGAGAGGGAATAGAAAAACAGTGCAGTGATAGCCAGCTGCTGCCATGTCTGTGCGGCCTGCGCCTGCACGCACAATCACGCCGCGGCATACGGCTGCCCGGGCGCCGCTTATCGTCCTGCCTGCGCCTGCGCTGGCGGCACCTACCACTTCACTACACTCCAATCTCACAGAAACCGGGGAGCATTACGCCAAAAGCGCTGGAAAAAAAGCAGTGGCCGGGTAAAGATAGACGACAGGATAGCTCGCCATCATTTCACCGGCGACGCAACGCCGGACACGGAGAAGAGGTGAAATTCCGTGAAACCGTTAGCCGCATTCCGCAGCAGCAGCTAGCCAGCAGGCAAAGGAGAGGAAAAGATTACGGCTTGAGATTGCTTTTTCTCACCTGGCGACGTCCTCCCACAGCGGCGCTTTGAGGGGGGCGTTCCGGAAGTCGGCGTCCATCTCCGTCCGGATCCTGATGAGCGCCAGCGTCTCCTCGCGCGGCCACCGGTGGTGGCCGCCCGAGCCGGACGCTCCCGCGCCGCTGGCGCCGAAGTCGGCCTGCATGTCGTCGTCTTGGATGCTGGCCGCGGCACCGGCGCCGGAGCCGGAGCCGGAGCCGCCCGCTGGTAATTCCTCGAAAATAGCACTCGGCTCCGCCGGCTGCAGCTGCATCGTCGGCGAGGCGGCTGGGATGTCGGTGACAGACACGATGGCGGGCCCCGTCGGCGTCGGTGAGAACGGGGCCGTGCCCGTGCCAGCCGTCGTCGTCGTCGGGGCCATGTACGGGGACCCGGCGCCACCGTGGTGGTGCAGCATGGCCACCACCACCACCTTTGCTTCCCTGCCCAAAACACGAAATTCCGTTGATCTACCACCTCACAAGACCTAGGGAATAGAAAATTGCAGCATCGCTTAACCAAAATTGCAGCATCGCTTAACCAGTACTGCGACTAGCACACAGTCCCTCACTTGGCTCCGGTCTACAACTACGTACTACCAACTACCATTAGACTAAGAAAGCAATTCAGACACAGAATTGGGGAGAATTCTTGCTTCTACACCCATCTCTCTCGGTCCCCGTTTCCCTCCCGTCTCTCTCTAGGAACAGAGCGAGTGAGTGAGTGCCACAAGCAAGATTTAGAGACTTACGGACCCTCTGGACGACGGGTTATGAGGGAAATTGGCAGCGAGGGGCTGTGCAGCTAGGGGAGGAGGAAGAGGGGGCGGTGGTGAAAGGGATGGGATGGGGTCATGGACAACTGGAAAGGGGCAAAAGAGTGTGGAGGGCTGTGAGGGCAGGCAGAGAAAGCCAAGACCTCTACAAAGGGGGAGGCTGGGGCTGGGGTATGTTACATGTGTAAACTCCACTAGATATATACTAGTGCTATGGGATTTTTTGTGAGTATATCTCTCTCACAAGATTTATGAACTTTGGAAAAAATATACGCATTTTAGTTTTTTATGCATATTATTAAATATTATAGATACGAGATGCGCTCTTATTACTTCTCCACGAGTAAATGTGTGCGTATCGAGATATTTTCATTTTTGTCCAATGGATTCCTTTCGTAAATGATAGAGATATATGGGTACGTGTATGCCTCCGCAGGGGAGATTATATATGTCTCCACATAAGATGCGACTTATAAGATATTCTCATTTTAGTCCACCATTTACTTCTCCACGAGTAAATGTGTGTGTATCGAGATATTTTCATTTTCGTCCAAAGGATTCCTTTCGTAAATGTTAGAGAGTGTGTATCCAGATATTTTCATTTTCGTCCAATGGATTCCTTTCATAAATGTTAGAGATATATGTGTACGTGTATGCCTCCACAGGAGAAATTATATATGTCTCCACATAAGATACGCAACTTGTAAGATATTCTCATTTTAGTCCATGATTTATTAAATAAATGTTGCGGATAGAAATGGGACATTCAATCCCCAAGAGTAAGTATAGGCACCTCCCATGGAAGATATCCAAATTCCAAGAGAAAATGTCCTGTAGATTTTTTTAATCCCTTTGGTTCATTTCAAATATGTTAGAGATGGATAATGTGTGCCATATGCCTTTATATATCTATCTTGCATACCCACAAAGAATATCTATCTAGCATAACTACAACTTTCATAATAAAGAATGCTCATTATGATTTAGCCCTTGGATATCGCTTCACCTAATTCTTCAATGTTCACAAGTTAAATTCATGATAAAAAAAAGAACAAATCTATGTGTTTCAGTAGGATCCATTTCAAGAATGACATATATTGATGAACTTGAAAGGACCTAGGATGCCGCCTAGAGGGGGGTGAATAGGCGTTTCTGAAAATTAATACCTTTAAATGCGGAAACGATTTAGTAATGGGAGTTTCTAAGTGAAAACTCCAAATCAGAGTAATACAACCCCTCACAAGTTAGTCAACGAGTAAATAAACAACATTAAATAATCTTAGGAGCCTAGAACCTGCAACACAAGAGTTAGAACACGGATCGAATAAATTCAGCACTGAGCTCAAATACAGGACGTGTCCAGTATACACGTGTTTTGCAGAACAGCCCCCCCCCCTTCACAAGTTAACAACAGAGTATATAAAGGATACTAAATAAGTTTAGGGAGCCAAACACCTGCAACCAAAGAGTTAATTCAAAATGCAATTAAGTTTGGCACAGGAATCAATACCCGGCGTGTCCGGTAGGTATACACGGTTTCAGTGGAACAGCTCCAAACTTGCTCCTTTCGATTTCTATCTTCAAAACAAACTACAGGTACCTACTAGAGATGAGAAGATACACAGAGAACCTGCACAAGAGCTGGAGCAACACAAATATCGAAAGAAATGCAAATTGAGACACGATATTTGTTTTACCGAAGTTCGGACTCGTTCGAGTCCTACTCTCCGTTGAGGGGGCTACGGGCGACCCAGCGAAGGTCAGCCCTAGAGGGTACCACGAAGGTCATTCTAGCTGGAGTCTTTTCCAACTCCTTTTCCTCCTTCCACTATTTGATTCCGAGGCGACGGAATCGACCGTTATAAACTTTTCGAGTCACACCACAATCTCTCGGGTGCTCTCCGGCGACGCCTAGCCGTTTAGGACCGAAGAGTCCAAGAGTAACAAATACAAATCATGAGATTGACAATATACACAAGTGCTCAAGTGGTTGGATTGCTCACTTTTGAATTTCTCTCAACCCACTAATGGATTTGTCAATTTGAATCACACACTCACTAAGAGAAGGTTTAGGAGAGTTGGCAAAGCTCAAAAACGTGTATTGTAACTAGCAGAATCAGCAGCCTCCAAAGGTGAAGGCTTGGGGGTATTTATAGCCCTTTGAAAAACTAGCCGTTATGTAGCCGTAGGGCAATACCGGACACGTCCGGTATGCACTGCGCCAACGGCCACTGAGTTAAAGTATGCGAGGTGTTGGAACTCCCAACGCTTCCCGGGACTTCCGACCGTCGGAACTCCCGACGAACCCATTTGAAAACTAGCCGTTGGGCTCTGGCCTACTATACCGGACACGTCCGGTATAATACCGGACACGTCCGGTGTGACCAGACAGTCAACTCTCCAAGTTAGTTAAGCGCGAGACGTCGGAACTCCCGACGATTGCCGGAACTCCCGACGAACCATGTTAGAGAAACACCTGAGTGACCCTACCATATCAGACACATCCGGTATGCAGGTCCGGTATGCTCGGTCACAGAACAACGTTAGTTTCTCTCTTCTCTCTTTCACTCAAACCTCACATAGGTTGGCTTGAGCACTTATGAATAATCATCTATCAACATGATACATCCCTCTTAATAGTACGGCACTCCTATTAACTCAAATTCAAATGTATAACGAATTTAAACCTTTTAAGTTGATCTCTTTCAACCGAAGCCGTGTCTTTCAATCTTCATCAAGTGAGGGTGCCAACATGTCGATATTGATCTTTTTACTTGAGCATAGCCATCTTGAGCACGTGACTTGATTCCATTCATCAAATATGAATAATCCCAAATGTATCAAGTCACTTCCATCAAGCACTCCAATAGTGATTTGATACTCCACATCAACATGACCATCATAGCTTGATTAGTACCTCCACTAAATGCAAGTACTTCATTTTTCACCCTAGCTAGGTTCTTCGGCCGCCAAGCCGTCGTTTGCCCTTCACCCTTGCTTAGTACCTCAAAACCTTTCCTTGCTATCTTCACCATCTCAAGCCATCAAGTCACATCTTGTGTTGAATCATTCATTCATTTGTATTGTTATCTTTTTATTTCAATTTAGCAAGCTTCAAATATGAGACCATTCCATATGCAATCCCACATGTCTCATTAATTAATTCTTACCATGCTTGCTTTCATATAGTACATGGAAATCCCACAATAAATAGGCATTTACATGAATTCCATTTGCATTGTTGTCTTGTGCTTGAACTAGACTGTTTATACAACAACACATCATTTTGGCTTTATTAAGCATCTGTGAGATAACTTATTACCTGTCCACACTTAGTAAACGTGTTAGACCTTTAATCATGTTGTCATTCAATCATCCAAAACCCACTAAAGGGCTAGATGCACTTTTAGAACTTTACCTATCTCTCAATGAAAATATGCTTGCAATCAATCAAAGTGTAGAATATATGCAAATGTTCACAACTTGGATTCTTTCCATTAATATATTGTGATCAGGATTGCAAAAGTCTTTGTATATGATGCAAGGAAGCAGCTGAATATATTTTGTGATATTAATAAAGTGAAGTGTTTTTTTGTGTGAAGAAAAGCTTTGTCAGTATATTTAAAAAAATCTGTAGGAACATACTAGTCATGACCAACTTTGAAGCAGCAAGCTTGCATGTATATGTTTGACAAAATACCTTTGCTTATATATGCATCTTGTCTGATGCATGAAATAGTGTGTCAGTGGTTGAGTTATATAATTTTAGACCTTACAATCAAGTTTAGATTCATTTGTTCCATTGAGGACACACATGACAACTTTGATTACTTGAAGAGCTAAATCTAAGAGTTGTGTATTATAGGTATGAATCATGGATGCAACTAATAAAGACATAAAAATCCCTGGAAAAGTTAGAACACAACACCCTAGCTATGGAACAAGTTTGAAATATACTAATGGTACTCACTCCATTCTCAAAATAAATTGACTATTAGAGTTATCACAAGTAAAGAAGACTCAGATTTGTTTGTACTTTATCAAGAAAAATACCAACATCATTGATACTAAATAAGTACACTATGAAAAATATGCATTTTATTTTTTATTCATATATTAATAAATATTATAGATACCCAATGTGCTCTTATTACTTCTCCACGAGTAAATGTGTGCGTATCGATATATATATATTTTTGTTCTAAGACATAAAGATATTTTCATTTTAGTCCAATGGATTCTTTTTCGTAAATGTTAGAGATATATACTTAGGTGTATGCCTCCGTAGGAGAAATTATATATGTCTCCACATAAGATACGTGACTTATAAGATATTCTCATTTTAGTCTAGCTTTGATTCGATAAATGTTGCAGATAGAAATGGGCCATTCTATCCTCAAGAGTAAATATAGGCACCTCCTAGGGAAGTATCCAAATTCCAAGAGAAAATGTCCTCTAGATTTTTTTAATCCCTCTGGTTCATTTCAAATATGATAGAGATAGATAATGTGTGCTATATGCCTATATAAATCTATCTTGCGTACCCGCAAAAATATCTATATCTTGCATAACTACAACTTTCATGATAAAGAATGATCATTATGATTTAGCCCCTGGATATTGTTTCATCTAATTCTTCAATC